AGAGGAGGAGCGGGGAGAGGCGGCGCGGCTGGTTGTGAAATGGAGACGGGCCCGGGCTGATACGGGAAATACCCCCGCGTCCCGGCCCGCTGCCCCTCGCCCCGGGAAAAGGAGCCGGGTAAGTCTCCCACGGACGGCTCGCAATAGCTCTGCACGCTCCTGTCCGGCTTTTTGGAGGCCGCTGCGCACTGCGGCGGCAGGCGGGAGGCCCCTTGAGGTGGAAGGCGTCCGAGCTTAAACGGTACCTGCCCCTGTACACCTGAAATGGTAAAGTCTGCCTCCGAGCCCTTCAACGTTTTCATGGGGATCTAAAACAAAGACAACGAAGCATGACTTTGGATTTCTGCATGCTGTCAGCACCATGGTTTAATCAAAGTCAGCTAAAATGACAAACGCTAAGTACTTTCAAGTGTTAAAAAGCACTGATAATTTATACATTTGATACAAGAGCATAAGAAAATGAGAACAACCACAAACAATGAAAATCAACGACACTTAATAAGCATTATAGAGAACACGTTATTTGAGAATTACTAATTTGCTGTATTTTAAGTTCTTGCAATAATTGGTGGGATTTAAATTTTGTTTTGAAGTCAACAATCTTTCATATAAAAAAGTTCTTTGTTCAGTAACAAAACATGATCTGGGAAGCTGAAATACATGACACACATCTAACCTAAAGACTCAGAAGTCTGAGAAGCAGAGAATCAAATACAAATTACTTCCAAATACAAAATACTTCCAAAACCAATCTCATGTTTTTGTATAGCTTCTAGTTAGAATGCTGTTCCTGAAGTAGATGAACCTTGCAGATATCAGTGTAATGAGTAACAAACAACTGAATTTGATACACTTACTGAGTGTCTCAGAAAAAAAATACTGGCATACTTCTGATTACTCGTTAATTTCTCTCATTCAAGACTGAGATGAATTGCTCAAGCTATAGGGTTAAAGACGACTGAAGTCTCTGGCAGTATCGGACCAGCTGCATTCATGTGCTCTCAGTTCACCTCGTGCAGCAATGTCAGGGCACTGACCTTCCACTTACACGCTTCACATAAATAAACCAAACTCTTGTCTTCCCTTCGATGGGAAAAACATACTGTCCTTGGCATGTACAGTCATTCCTTTCGGCCTTCCAACTTCTAGACAGACTCCACTCATTACCTATTTTTTCTACTACTCAGTATCTTTCTTGTTTTAGCATGCTGATCATGTGGAAGCCAATATCCTACTTGTGTTCCTGCTAAGGTAAAATGAGATGAGTTACTCCTGTACATTTCCATTTACTTTCTCATAGGTATTAAAAAGAAAATACTAACATTAGTCCCTTACTTAGAAAATCTAACCTAAGACAAACTTGAATATATTTCCTAACTAGACGCTGTGGGGTGCATTTTAGTTAGGAATGATTTGGCTTCATAACATTCCTATGGGGTATTCTTTTCGTTCCCAGTTTAGAGATTAGAAATAATGCAACTCGAAGATAGACATGAAGTTATTCAGGAGTCAACAAGGAAGTTTTCTGTATCACAGGGCTCTGTGCTTTTACAAGAGACCACCTTTCCTGTACGGGGCACAATGCTGGTCTATACAAACATACACGCTTCTTAAGCCCACTTATTTATTTTTGGGGGTTTTTTAAATGTCTTTTTTCTACTTCTTGTCACTGTTCCCTGGAGCGGCTTTCTCTCCAGAGCTCAACTGTGCCATTCCACCTGTGTCGTCACCAAGAGCAGGGTTTTAAGAGAACCAGCATTCCCCCCTCTGTTATACCCATATGAACAAAATTAACTTTCCATATATAAAATAATTCTTATTAGTGCTTTGTTAACTATATTATTGGTACCATTTTAAGCCAGCCAGGATGAATGTGTTCAAAATAGGAAATAGGCAATTCTACCACAGACATTGTCATTCTCTATACAACGGACTAATAAAACACAGTCGGGACACCATCAGGTTGCGCTTTTCAATGACTACACAGAAGATTTAGTAGTAAATTAGCATTTCAAAATGACAAAAATGGTCTTGCCTCCTACAAAGAAATATACGCTAACTGGTTCATAAGCAGGCTTTCCAGAAATACTTCTCTAGAAATTAGAACTTCCATAAACTGACTATATTCAGCCAATTTTTATCCTTAGCTTTAAAAATCAAATGCAAAGACCCTTGCACGCCTTGAAGCTGGTAACACCAAATCTTGACTGATCAAGAAATGTTTTATACATTAATTATATCTATACAAAGCTTGCATTAGACAATCTTACATTACAAATTTACAATCGATGCAGAAAGAAATGTAAACTCCACCACTAATTTATGGGTAATTTCAATGGGTAATTTCACCCTGATAATAAGCACAATCTAAATGACCTCACCCTTATTTTTATCTGTCCAAGTATCCACTCAGAAATACAGCTACAGAACGAATTATAAAGATTCACTTCTAATGATTATAATGGCAGGGCAGCACTATCTAATCTCAACAGATGTGTGAAATCATTTGAAAGTGATTAGAGTCAATAAAATTTTTGTACTGTATCATTGTTTTAAGCCAGTATATAGGAGAAGTTTAAAATTTACAGAATTAAAATAACTGTCCTCGTATTATTAGCGGTGGAAAGCTAATTATAAATATACAGAATTATAATAGTATAAAATAATAGAGGCTTGCTCTAAATGAGGTTGGTGACATACATCATTTCAGTGAGAGCTAAATTAGGATTTTAGATATGAAAATTGCACTCTTTGTACATTCTCAGCTGGATCACTTTGCAAATTCCCTTAGTTACCCCATAAAACATGACCCAATCTACACACCAGCAATATGTGTCTACTTGGTGCATTAAAAGATAGGAACTGAAGGTAAACAAAGCAGACAAAACTCGTGTGGGAGATCTGCAGTACATGAGTGGAAGAGAGGGTTGTCGGATAGTCCCACAGACAGGAGTTTAAATTAAACACTGAACAAAGAAACCGAACGATGAGGTCGGATAGGTACCCCAAGAGAAAAACAGGACAATTTTAAAAGCTTATCAAGAGTCTGAGGTGGGAAGTGCAGGCTGGTATGTGAATTTGGAGACATCCATGCCTGGGAATTTTTGGAACACCCTTATCTTTGGCAGGCTGGTGCAATTTGCTAAACATCAGCACAATGACCTGCTGCCACAGAGGATAACATGAGCTGGATATGCAGTTGAGATCAGTATGATGTTACTTAAGCATGGAACTAGATGTTGGCTTTCTCTTTGTCCCTTTTTAAACTTGAGAGAGCTGCTCTTGTACATTAGATGTTAAAGTGCGGGATGACCATCAGAATTGCTATTACAACGTGCAACTACTCCCACTGTCCCTCCCCGCAAAATCTGATCCATCACACTAAAGTGATTATTCCTATTGAAACCCCTAGGTAAGGAAATTCACAACACCAAGTTGTTATACATGCTTTGCTGATATAAAGAGAAAAACATTAGAATTGTATAATTGCTGTTAAAATTGTATTTAATACCACATTTTAGTGACTGGAAATTAATTCCAATTCTAACAAACTGATTACAGGGAAAGAAAGTAATCAAGCTGTCTCATGTATCTGAAGATGACTTAAAAGATCTTTTTCATTTCCAAACCTCATTAAACAATCAGTACATTTATGAGGTAACTCTGCTGAATGCCTGAAATCCAAATGAGTTTTAAGGTCTTCAATCTGTCCTGTTGAATATTCACAGTATTGACACAAATAAATCCCTTCAGATAAATGAGAGCTTAAATGCTTGCAATATTCCAACATACCTGAAAAGCCCTTCCCACAGTCATCACAAACATGAGGGAATATTTTGGTGTGTTCAATCGCTACGTGCCTGTTGACATTTGTATGCAGCCTGCTCCTAAAGCCACACACTTGGCATACAAAGAAATTTTTGCATTTGTCAAAACTGATTTTGTTTATGAGACTGTACTGTCCACGCTCCTTGTTATTATAGCTGTCGCTTAACTCTATCAATCGACATGCATGTTCGTTCACCACATGGCTATGCAGATCTTCTGGATCATTTGTTTCATGCTCGCAGAACTGACACAAATACTGCTCGTCACAGCTGTGTTCCTGGAAATGGAGGTACAACTCGCTGCTCGAGGAGAACTGCATATCGCACTGCTCACACCAATAAAGGTGGTCATTGAAGTGAGTGTCTGCTATGTGCTGACTCAGATTCTCAAATATCACTGTTTTGTAATCACAGTATTTACAGATGTATGGATCCTCCTCATGTAGTTTTACATGTTCAATGAGCAGCACTTTGCTGGAGAAGCTTTCTTTACAAACTTTACAGACATGAGTGTCTGTACACGTCTTATGCTTCAGGATCATGTGCTGCTTTAAATCAGAAAAGTACTTGCTATTAAAGTCACAGAGCTCACACTTGTATAAGCCACTGCTGTTGGCTCTCAGCAAAGGCCATTTCTGTTGAGCTGTGATATTCAAAGCCTGGTTCTTCTCAAAGATTTTACAGGTTTCTAGAGGGATTTCCTCTAAGTCCTCAGCTTCTAGCTTCTCAGGTGACACAGTTTGTGTTTCTATATCGTGAACTTCTACAGCATTCACTTCTGTCGTAGAAATTTCTACAGTTTGAATATCTAGAGGTTTCTCTTCTTCTGTAGGACTGTCACCGAATATAGGTGAATCACATAAGTCTCTGCACATTCCATTATTAGTACCTTTATCTGCAGGAGGAAATAGATAATAAAAGCAAAAGGTTAAAAAAACCCTGCAAAACACCTGGGTCCATATTTAACTTTTCAGTTAGTTATAGCAACATACAAATACAAAAAGCACTTATTTTTCCCCAGCCAGACTATGTATTATGTTTAACAAATAAATAACGTAAACTACAAATCCTTTGCCTCTTCTGTCAAAGCAAAAAGTTACATAAAAAGCCAGCAGCCGTGCTCTCCAGCTTCCCAGCACCTATGCTGCAAATACACATTTACCTTTATCCTTCTTTTTGGGGTCTGTATAGTGCAACCCCACAACGTTTGAATGTGACCCACTCCACTGAGAAGTCCCAGCGTGCACTGGACTCCCGTCATCATCTGTGTCTAGGCTCTGCACGGGACTGTGGAATCTACCTGCAAAGATAAAAGAAGGATTTTCTTGTCATCATTTGTCTATGCTAGCATCATCATGATTCTTTAACCATAGATCTTATTTACTATTCAGTTATTCTAGTTGCATAAATTTATCTTTATATATTAATCACATCATAACCTACATTAAAGAAAGTAACTATAAATACCTCAGAAGTTATTTCCATACATACAGAAGACAACAAAAGACTTCACAAGGTGGCAACTCTGTCTTTAAAATTTCAGCAAAAAATGGTAAATTAATTATACTGGAAAAAACTTAAATAAAAAACTTAAATAAAACTTTAGATTTGAAAGACAATTTTAAAAAATATTCTTAAATATTTCTTGACATCACATTTTAAAATATAATACTTTGTAAGACTTCTGGAGACTTGCTGGCTAATTTACGAGAGTGAAAAGAAAAATAAATATAATAAAAATCCATCCTCATGTTTGCTCTGCTAAACTTTACATCCATTAGTGGATGTTGTATAAAAAGGCATTTTGTTTTCCCCAAGTACAGTTCAATGCAATTGCTGGTAAATTCCATTGAACTCTTAGATTATTTACATCAGCTTTACATTACCTAGCTAGTGGATATTTAGATAAATAAGACTAATTGTCATTAGAAATGCTGCAAAATGGAAGGATCTTTTTGTCGTCATCATTTCTACTTTGAAACCTGTATTTCAATTGCAATGATTAAACCACCTTCCACCAGTCTAAGGCATATCTGATCACAACGACGCTCAGAAGTCACCCACTACATATTTTGTATTCTATTTACTTCTATGAATAGGAGCATGAAACGTTAATAAAGAATTGCAGAACAAGACCCCAAAATGTACTCTTACCTCTGTTTTCAAAAAACTTTATATCTGGCTGTTTCATAGAACAGACGCTATAGCAGTGGTCAGAAAAAATTCCACTGTTGTCTATGTATTTGCTTGCACCTGAAGAATCTTAAAAAAAAGAAAGTTTTTATACTAACACATTGATGTAGCTACACGTGTATTTCATGTTCACCAAAATTTTCCTTGCCAGCTGCATTTTTACTTCTTGTGTTGTGAGAATTCTGTGCTGGCCTGATAACATTCCTGTTGTGATTTACAACTTTCAGCTGCTCTCCTGATGTGCGGAGTATCAGATACAGTCATTATCAAACTCCGCTCCCACTGAAGACAGTGACAGGAACACAGTTTGTTCAGCAATGAACACTTCTGGACACCCCCATCCCAACTTTTACAAAATTCCTCCCTTTGTGTGTTAGTAGAATCATCTTCATTTTGTAGCTTGAGCAAGTTTCCCCACTTGCAGGGAGTACAGAACAAAACTGCTCAGATGCATTGACTGGAAGTGGCTTAACAATGGAGCATGCAGAGCGGGTGCTCAATACATTCAGACCGAGAGTTCTTATCCCACCCTTTATGTTACTGATCTTCCATGTATTAGCACATGTGGTCCCCTCTCATAAAGTAATTATTCTGAGAAAAAATAAGCTTACTAAAGTGTACATAATTGAAGCTCTAGACTGACCTGAATATCGAGAAGGATGTAGAGTCTTCCTTTTCCTCTTTTTAGGATGTTCATTCATTTTGAATAGTCTAAATTAATTGTAAAGCGAAAACATTCAAGAATTAACTTGTTTGTATCTAGTTTATCTTTCATGACTTTATGAAACAATGCAAACATTTTGAAAACCCGCACATTAAATACGAGTTTTTTTCCTACTCCCCTTTCTTGTCCCCCAGCCCAGTTTGTTACAGTTAAGAACACATTAAATGCTCACAAGTACTGAAGTCTAGTTTCATATTCCTGCCCTGGAACAAAAGAAGGTTCACCATAAAGACAGACAGGTCTGGATCCCAGGCATTCACATACTCAGTGTAACCTACAAGGCAGTTCTGCAACACCCTGTTGCCTTTTGTCAGAAACCAGATATTCTGAGGCAGAGTCCTTCAGATAAAGTTTTAATGTTGAAGATACTAACAAAAGTAATGCTCTCTTACCAAAAATCCTAGATTCTTCAGTATCAGCAAGCAGAGCAGCTAAGAAGCTGATGGCTGTACAGCTTCCAAATGTAGTGAATACATCAACTTGAAAAGTTTTTCATCTACGGAGTGATAGCATTTTAAAACACTTTAAAACTTGAGCACAAAATAAAAAAAACCCAGACTCATATACACAAATATTACAAAGAATGAAGCGATGGAAATTGAAGCTAGAAAACAACATAAGAAGTTGATATTAATTTTGGTTTAGAGTATCAAAATTAATAAGGTAGATGCATTAGAGTATTTATTTTCCTTTCATCCCAGGTTAGTTGGCTTTTGCTGCACTTGGCAGCTCCTGACAACAGAAAAATAGACCAGAAATACTTGAGCTATACATTGGTCCAAATAGTTTTGAAGAAGGGCGGGCTGCAAACATTGAACCTGATGTGGTTTACTCTTAACACAAGAGCATGTATGGGCCCAGGATCTTCTAAAGCCAAGGCCATCCACCAGAGGTGAAAGCAGGAAAAAAAAAAGGCCCCTCATCGAGTAAATGCTGTTCTCATGAGATGAAATAACTTGCTGAATTAAACTTTTATTTTAAAAGGGAGAATAATATGGAAAAAACAGGTTTTTTAATATTATATCGTGGTCTAGAAGTATCAAATACCCTCATCGCTGATTGTGAAGGAAGAACCTACATTATACTGCAATAGCAAGTTTTATCCCAGTTAACGCAGCTCATCCTTTTCCCCACGGATTAGCCCATGGGACAGTAACGCCTGTTACTCTTCTCCAGCGGCTTTCCCAGGTACATCTTTCCCAGCTGCTCGGCACGGTTATGGGAAAGGCTCATGAAGGCCCTAAAAATCGAGACCCCCGCCCCCCCGAAGCCCCTCGCCGAGCGGGCCGCGCC